TTATGGATTTTATAAACCCAGGGAGCATAAATAACTGATTCTGTTAATAGCAATTTTCTGTCCTCTTGTGCAGTTCTTAATTTCTTCCCTTTCCATCAAGGCTTTCTTCCAAAATTTAGAGGACTTTAATATAGGAAAAATTGCAAATCTTATCCCTTAGGCTGAAAGTAAATAGTGTCATCCATATAGGATTTTTCCTTATTTATTATCTCTTCAGGTTTCAAGCAACATGACTGGAGTGAAGGGACATTAATCAAGTTGTCATCCTTCACTTTTCCCTCAGGTTTGTAAATCACACCACCATTGACATAATTAATGTATTTCTTAGGCTAAGAACTTTCTTAGGAGCACTCCAAGGATGAGGTGTGTGGAGAGTCGCTTTGCTAACTCTCTCTATTTAAACTTCACATAAAAGAAAAAAAAAATTGAAAATTGTGGGCATTCAGATGAAAACGGAGGCATCTTTTTCAGAAACAAAAGAAACTCAAACAAAACAAAGCAATAAAGCAAGCTGTCCTTCTTGTTGAAATGGTTCTCCTGCGAGAAAGAAGATTTCCGAAGATCTCGGAGGAAGAGAAAAAGGAACAATAACAAAATGACTGTGACTTTCCAGGTTAAGAGGGTCATCTCTGTGATCATTGCCATAGATATGCTCTGGCCATAAAATTTGTAAAAGGCCTGGAACCCAGCACTTCTACTTGATCTCTCAGCTAAGTGCTTTAGCTTGACACATTCAGTTCTTAGACTTAGGGGAAGCTTCTAGCAGCTTCTCAGAGAAGCCAACTCTATACCTCCCCAGTACAAACACCTTGCCAAGTACATCAAATACAGCTGTGGAGGGACACAGGCCTACCTTGAGTGCATCATTGAAGAGGCAGTTATTGTACAAATTTTTCTGAAGCAAACTCAGACTTGACCCTTACAACTGTTTTTGACCTTGTTGTTGCATCAGTGATACCCAGTGATGCTCTTCAGTGCTCCTGTATCCATTTAAATTTGGGCTGTCATTGCAGAGATTTTTCTTCATGAAAACCACTGAAATTACATATTTGAAAGCTATAATTCTCACAACCATTTTCTCATATACAGCTGCTTTCATTCAGTTTTCCAGGTTTGCTGATAAAATGTGTTCTGCTGATATTTGACCATATTACATCATTATTCTTTACTGATGCTTAAAGAACTTCTTCAATTGCTCAGGATGTGCACTTTCAGACAATGGGACTTCCAACGCTTTATTGTAACAAGAGGCTGAAAGTTCATGAGTCTTTGTTTATCTGTTCTTATGTTTAAAGATCATGGTGACCAGGGGAGACACCTGAGGACTGGAAAAAAGCAAACATCACTTTTGTCTTCACAAAGGACAAGACAGGGGATCTGGGAAGTTACAAGGCAGTCAGTTTCACCTTGACCCTCAGGAAGTTATAAAGCAAATAAGCCTGGAAAACATTTGCAAATACCTGAAAATTAGGAAAGTAAATGGGCATAGTCAGCATAGATTGATGAATAAGAAAGCAACATAACCAACCTGAAAACTTTCTGTGATAAGATGACTGTCTTGATGGATGTGAGGAAAACAGGGGGTACTCCTTATATTGACTTTAGCAAGGCTTTTTGTCTCCCATAACATCCTCATAGACAAACTAACAAAACATTGACTAAATGGAGAATGAGGTGGACTAAAATATGCAGCTGCACTCAGATAGTTGTGATAACTGATGCAAAGTCCAGCTGGAGACAAGGAGCTATTGGTGTGCTGCAATGCTTGACTCTGGAGCCAATACTGGTTAGCATCTTTGTTAATGTCCTGGTGAGGGGGCAGAGAGTATTCACAGCAAATTTGCAAATGATACAGAATTGGAAGTCTGTAAGTTTGTGTATTAATTTGGAACATATTACAGATGCAGTAACAGGCAGGGTATATTTATTCTGTAGCAAACATAATTATTTGAACAGTTCTCATAATAGGCAGGCATATAGGCAAAGCCAAAGGAAGAAAAAGATCAGTACAAGTTCTAACTCTTATCTTACAGTCACTTAATCAAGTACTTGAAGAATTTTACTATTGGTATTGTCAGTTTGAGCTTTGGGGCAAACACTGAGGGGCCCTAAGGACAGTATTATGTCCCATAATGGCTATATGTAATTGCTATGGAGGCATTTTGGACTAAATGTCTGGAATGCTTAAGATTCACAAAGGATGTTTTTTATGTCATTTGCATGTATTTGACTGCATCAAAAATGGTTCTTAAAACTGGAATGAGCAGGTTGTCTAAGATAATTGTCTCAATGCCTCTTGAAAGTGCTCTTGGGGAGAGAGCAGGGAAATTATATTTCAGAGCCAATCAGAAGTCCAGCAGTAGCTGTACACATGCTGGGCATCAACCCTTTCCTCAAGTAGTTGTGCTTGTACTTTCAATGAATACAGAAAAGAGAAATAAAGCTGTTATGAGAAACTCAGATTTCCATTTACAGTCTACATAATGCTGCTGTTTTCAAATAGTAATTTTAAGTAGTTGTTTGGCACAAGGGCATATAGGTCTGTTACGATCCCAGTAAAAAATTCACTTAAGTGCTATAAAATATCCTTTCAAATATTATGTATTAGGGTAAGACAGTAAAGAAGGAAAAAATGCAGATAATCTTACATCCATTTAAATGCTAAAAACCTTAGTTGTGCAGCTTTTAGTAGACCTCTGCTGCTGTGTACACACTGTCCAAACCCTGCCCATGGGAAGAGTGGCTTCCTTTACTATAGGAATTTCTTGAATAACTACATTCATGATTTCTGCTGTCAAACAGAAAGGATACTCATGTAACGTTTTGCTGCACTTCTGGATAAAGTCAGGAACAGGAAGGTGTTGCAATTGCAGGTGCCCAGCAGGAGCAGCCTGTGGCAATAAGGCAGCTGGTGTGATCCTTCAGCTAAGTGTTTTGTGCAGCCCAGCACAGGCTTGAAGGCCACTCTGGATGTGCAGCACAGCAGGGTGAGGACTGGGTGTACTCAGGTAAACTTCTTTGCTGATCATTAACTTTTCCATGTATGATAGTGTCCCACTTGGGATCAGCACAGTACTATCTTTTAAACATTCATCATAATTTATGCAAAAATAATTTAGGAGACTTATTATATTGATTATACTCAGGCAATGCCTGTTTCATTTTGCTGAATGAGTTTTGCTGTGCTGCATTGTATGGTATACAAATTTCCCCAGCTACTCCTTTTTTCCTTTAAAAAGATTAGCTATTCTTTTCTAATGAAACATGTTTATGAACCTAGATTTACATTCAATATTTTTAATTGAGGTTTAAAAATCTAAAACTTTCAAAAAAAATAGTTAGAAAAACAAAATATCAAGTGCTCCAAAATGTACTTGATTTCAGCATTAGGTTGACATAATATGGAAAGTTGTATTAATTGCAGGCTATCTTAAACACTTTTATTTTTCAAGTAGTGACAGCTAATTTAATTTTAGCTGTTGTAAATTAAAATATTATTTTGATGTACCAAATATGTGAAGTCTTAGCCTGCTATTGAGCAATTTCATTAAAAAAAATAAAGAAACAAAAGTTATTAATACAAAAAAAAATCGTGGTTGCTGTGAAACATTAGAGATTCTCAGTCATTTTGAAGCCTGGTAATACAGTATTTCTGAGGTAAACTTTCCCAGATGTTTTGTACTTCCCATATGAAATATTCATGAAAGAATGAAAAAGCACCCTCAGTCAAGATGTATTAGGTTGTCACTACTAATTGCAGTAGACATGTTAGTTTGTTGCACTGAGAAAATCACTCCAGCATAAAGTCAGAGGCTTCTAAATGGAAATCAGTTCAGGTAACTTCATTTTGGCTTTTTTAAGATTTTTCTTAAAAGCTGGGAAGAGTAACAAACAAAGAGATCTAAGCAGGCAGTGGAAAGAACCCTGGGCAATCGGTGGAGATAACTTTTTTAAAACATCTCTATTCTGAACACAGGACAAAGCAAGGAAAGCTTGTGCTAGGCCAAGCTAGAGACATCAAAAATGAGGCGAATGAGAATTTCAATTGTCACAGTTGGACTTTTTGCCACCATTGAGTCTATGCTGTAAAACCTGAACTGTGCAATGTTGGTTTAAAATAGAGACCTTTCAGAGGCTAAGGGAACATGCCAGTTGCTACAGTAATGGAAGGGCTCAAGCTGTGCTAAACAAGGTGAAAGCACAAGATTTTATTTGCTATGAAGGTGATTGCAGAAGTGATGAAAACAGATAAAAAGTAAAAACTCTAAGTAGCAGAGCTGTTGTTGTGTATTGAGCAGGAAGTGGTATGGTGGTTTGCAAATAAAAGTCACTATGAAGAATTGAGAGTTTACTTCAGGTCAGCTTGTAGATTTGTCGAGTACTTGTCAGTTTTGATTGCAATTTACTTCAAAAAATTACTATCTTGTGCAGGAGATAGTGGTGGAAATATCTGTTTGGCTTAGTCTTTGCTTTTTTTCTGTTGTCTGAGACTCAGCAAAACAACTGGTTGGTGAAATATTAAAGGCCATAATTACACTATTGTGCTTTGGCATTATTTTCCTGCCTCTCCTGTCTTGATTTTTAAGGGCTAAAAGGAGCTTGACTGACAAGATGTTGTCTTGACTGCAGTAATTAATCTGTTTTGCAGCATTCAGACTGCTAGCCCCTAAAGAGGGCTAGCAGTCTGGATATGAGAGGATGCTGGTGACTAAGTTCAATCAAGTGGATGCCTTAGTTCTGAGAGCTTCAGCAGAGGTACCGTTTTGCTTCATTATGCACATAAACAGACACCTTGAATGAATGGCCCTGCCCATCTTTTGACAGTGTCTTTGCTGGCAGGTGGATGGTATTATATCATTGGGCCTTAGGACAGCAAAGGAAAGAACATCAAGACATCAAGAAGTGGTGCAAGAGTTATTCATTTAACTTCAGTTAAGAAAACTGAGCATCCACTCTAAGTAGGATTGATTATTTGCCCTGGTTTTTTTTGGTTTTTTTTTAATCCAGGGACCAGATCTCCTTCAGAAAGCTGGAGATCATGAAAGAGTTTTATTTGTAAAGCCATTAAGATGATGGTTTGCAAAGTTCTTCAATCAAATCAAAACTTCCACAAGAAGGTGCCTCAAAAGAGATAATCGTAACATTATTTTTCCAGGCTTCTGCAGGTACTATGCTTTAAACAAGCACTTTCTTGTATGTACAGGAGGCCTGGATATGTGCAGAACATCAACATTAAAAAGAGCCAACAAAGCTGACTGCTTGTGGAGGTAAAATAAAATACTAAAGTTACAGTATTCTTTGGATTCCCAGTAAGATGAATCATCCATTCCTCACTTTTAAAGATGTACTTCATGGACGACAAAAATACTCCTTGAAACCAATCCTTTCATCATCTGAAGCTTATTTTTTCATTGACACATCAGAACAAGAGGAAGTGTCATTGTTTAGAGATTACATATTTGTCATATCTAAGGAAGGATCAAAAGCAAGTTACAGTTCCTTCTGGCTTTCTCCCAGGCTAGAATTTTCTATTTTCAGTATGTGCAGAAATGTGTTCTATTTTCAGAAATGTGCAGAAAGCTGTTTCTTTCAGCTTACAATATAGACATCTTTGGTATATGAATCAAATTAAATAACCAGTGGCATCCCAATTTCTTTTAGCAGAAAGTAATGACTGTGAGGAGGAAGCTCATTATTAATCACCTAAAAGAATGTGAAAGAATGGCTTTCCGAATGGAGAAACCAAGGAGGAACTTCAGAGATCTGAGTCAACTTCAAGTCCAACATTTTTTGATCTATGGCTATGTATGTATTGGCAAGTAAGGGAGAGTGTGGAGCAATCAGTGGTGAGGACTGAGCCAGAACTCTGATTTTATGTTGGTTTCTTTTTTTTTACTGCTCTATTTGGGCTTACATCCCCTATTTAACTCTAGTTATATATCATGGCCTAACTGTGCATTAGCAGTTGGAGAGCATTAGTTGTGCTCTTGGAACAAAGTTTACCATTTAGTCTCACCCAAAGAAATGAAGTTCATGCACTCTAAGACTCACTTCATGAAGTGATTTATTAAAAAATGGCAATGCAAGTGGATCCATTGACTTCTGCAGAGAGAAGTCACTTCTTTCTCCTCTGTAGGGTAAGTCTTGCACAGATCAATCCTTCCCACAACTGCAACAACTACAGTAATGGTGGGTAGAAACTGAGCAAGATAGTTCAGTCTGGAAGAGCCAGTGTCCTTTCTTCAAGGCTGGTGTGCAGGTCCTTGCTCCTAGCCTACTGCCTTAGGCAGTTGCTTCCTTATCTTATTTTTCAAACCAAGGTTGCCCATGTAATTGACTTATTTTTATAACTCGGAGTAAATAATTGGATTCTTAAATCAGTACTGCTGTGGTTGAACTGATAGGAAATGTAATAATCCATATAATTTATACTATTCTATATAATTTTATGAGGGTTTGCCTATCATCCCTGGAATTACAAAATCAACATGATTTCAGTGATTGTCTTGTAAGGTCCAAAGGGCAAAACTCATTCTTTCATAGATGAGGTAATTCCCTGTTTTATAAGAAACTCATCCTTTTCACCTTCATACAGATTCTTATGGTTTAAAATGTTCAAATATATAAATATTGATTCCCCGAACTCCAAATTTTCTGAATTTCACAGGTCAAATATTGAGTGACTGAGTTTTGTTTAATATTCACTTGAATCAAATCCTTCACTAAAATATTTTGTCAACATTCCAGTTACCTTTTAAATTTAAATTTCTGTGTACCTCCACACACCCAAGTTCTCTGTAAGTGTAAGTTTACCGCAATGAAAGCTCGCTGACACAATTTATGTATTTTTTTTTTCAGTATAACTGAAGCTATAGGTTAGTTTTTTAAAAATTTGTTTGAATTTAGAAAACAATCTCTGGTCAACTGCAGTTCAGATATTTCTATAAGTAGCCTGTTTAGTAATATAAGTAATTTGTTTGGAGTTGTGTCTAGTAAAGAAGAATGAGGTACATATTGTGTTTTTATGGAGTTTATAACCATATAAGTTATACAGGAGATATTAGAAGTTGATCTTATTTTTCAGCTAGAGAATGGAGTCTCTTGAAGTCTCCTACAAGCATTGGTTTTGTGATTTTATTGAACAAATAATTTTGAGATGTCAGGTCCACAGAAGTGGTTTGTAAAGGACTGAAAAATGAATTTTCTTCAGCCTTCTGAAGTAGTCACCACCCTATAAAAGAATCTCTAATTGTGTATTTCTCAATCATCTAGGAAACAAAGCAAAAGGGAAAAAAAAAAAAAGATGTTGCACTTTGTACTTTTCTACCCATAAATAGAATTTGAGAATATGGCGTTTTACTACTGTTTATCACTGAAAGGTACAGAATATAGTCAAGCTATTCATTATTTTATGCATCCTTACATATGTGTGTTCACATTTGACAACCTCGTGTAGAATGATGGAGAGCTGGAGGCTGGAAGGAAATCCTTCTTTTTTAATATAAATTCTTTGTCCAAGCTTACTGTCCCTTCACTGACTTGCTAGTAAAAGGATTTTTCCTCTCAAATATTTATAATTTGGCTGTTTTTTCATTTAGCTTTTTAGGCAAAAGGCCAAAAAGGGGATAGAATAGCCAAAAAATGTAAACAGGACTACAAGCTTCCCTCATATTCCACTGTATTGGTTGCTCAAAAAATAACAGACTGAATCATTAGCTTTGTTTGCATTTGCCAGGGCTATTTTTCACAATTAATTAGCCCAAAACACTTATCAGCTAATTGTTTTAAAATGAGTCACTTCACCATTCTCTTTCCAGATAAAGAGCTGAAGAAATGATGAAGGGTGGTGATCAACACTAATGCATTTCACAAATGATATACAGCTGATGAAACAACTTATTGCAGTCAACTGGTCTTAGTGTCTGCTGCACGCACTACAGTTCATCCTGAACTCATCATAATCTCTTCTTGAGCAGGAACATGCTGGAAGGTAAGCAGACAAATGTAAAAGTATAGAATCTGGATGAAGCTTTCCTCTGTTCCAGCAAAGGCTGTGGCTGAGTGGATGATTTCACTGCATTTCATCTTCAGGGGTGAGACCTTATGGCTCTGGTGTGCAGAAACATAATTTATCTTGCTATGCAAGCAGCCCGTTGTTTACATATGAATGTGCTCTGGAAAATGACACAATCTTGTTCAAAGAACAGGATGTCTCCAAGTCTGTGTCTCCAGAAATGTTGTAACAGATATCTGATCTATAACTGTATAAAATCTAAACTTCATAAGAGTATGAAGTATTTTAAAATCTACTTGTCCATAATGAAATTCAGAACAGTCCAACCATTTTCTTCATTAAAGAAATAGTTGGAGTTTTGTGCTGTTCAGCAAAAAAAGGATGAAGAACTAGAAATAAATAAGGCAGGGAAGAAGAAATGAGGTGAAACAGGGGTAAGAAATCACAGTATGAAGAGAGAAGAGGGGAATAATAAAAAGCAAGGAAAAAGAGACAAGTAATACAATGAAATAATACCAAAAATACATTTTCAGCAATGTATAAATTATTATCTATAAGCATTTATAAATGTAAAACTATTTTTTCTCTCTAAAAAATACACTAAATATTAAGTAAAAGACTGTAGGAAGTAAGTTATAATGTAAGATCCAATGTAAGCAAAATAACTTTGGAAATATTATAAATAAAACAACTTATAAATACAAATAAAATATTTTAAAACGTCAAAGTGCATAGTGTAACAATTAAGAAAGTTGAGCCACAGGTTTCATGCTTTGTTGTCTTTCAGAGACCTAAAAATAATTCTGATTTTTTGAGGCAAGACTTTGGGGGTTCTCACCTGCATGGAAATTGTGGTAGAATTGGAGAAAGAAAAAAAAAAAAAAGCTCGTGGACATGAAACACTTCTAAAGGTGTAAATGTTCTCATACTTAAAAAAAAAAAACAACCAACAAACCAGTAAATAGTTTCAGTCATATAAAATGGAAAAGAAATAAAAGTGGAAAAGCTTAACTTCTCATTTGTGTTTGAGTTGATTTGATGGGTAACACTGAAAGGATCCTTTACAGAGCCAGCAAGGGCAGGGTGCTGGGGGCTACCTAATCCTTTCCAAAGGATGCAGCCTGCCTGCCTTCAGACAGCTTTAGTAAGAGTAATATTAGCCCCAGGTTCCCAGGAGAGCCTTGCAGGGGCCATTACAGCAGCTGCAAGCCAGGGCCTTCATGGGTATGTTTTAATCCAAGTCACAAAAGAGCCTGGAAATCTGTTGTTTTGATTCTTTAAAATGTTTTCTTTTATAGGTTTTTTTTTGAAAGTTTTTAAGTTCTCATAAAACTTTGGCTTTCTGATGATGTTTACATATTTGAGAGTCAAAGTTCTTACACAATTTCATGTATAAATAGAATATTTATAATTTCTCTGTGGATGAAGAAAAAGGATTAATTGATCTTTAGACCAGTGTGGTTGGAGAGGTGGTAATTCCATCCTCCAATCCACAGTCACCTTTGGAATTCTATAAATACCAGCTGTTTGAATAAAACAAAGTCTTTTTCTCTTTAGAACTTACCAAGCTTCTGTGTACTCATTTCATGTCCAATAGCAACAGAAATCCAGGGACTTGCTAATGCAGAGGACAATCATTCAACCACAGAATTGAAAATCAGAATTAATACTTTAAAATCAGATGACGTAGTCTGAAATGAATGGCTTTTCAGGCTCTCCATTAGGTCTGCTCATCACTGCACTGGCAGGAGTTGTTTACCAGCTCTGCAGTTCCTACTGGGGGCTGCCTCACCAGCTTGGGGAGCTGCTCCTCTTGGACACTGGTGCCTCACACTGCTGCTTTAAATCCTCATCCTTCCATTGTTTCTTCCTCTTTAGTGTTGCACCTTGCTCCTTTGTCAGTCATCCCCACATCCCCCTGCTTGCATTTATTCAGGATGTTTTGACTAATAGCTAGTGTTTGAGGACTCTGCTTTTAACCCTCCTCCCTTTTGTGTATCTGGTTTTCTGTGAAAATTACAAGAAATAATAATAATTGTACTCATAATAATGAGCAAAATGTGTCCTTCAGAGATCTCCAAATTTATGCTTTTCTTTTATACCTTCATTTGTTTTTCCTATGCAACTTGAGCAGAACATCTGATCATTATTTAATTTCTAAGACTGCTAGTATACTTTATAAATCCCACATCTAAGAAGAATACCTTGTAAATGCCTTGTATCACTCCACACCCATTGCTTTACTATTGGGTCGTCTGGGATACGTTGTAGAATAATAACATAAACTATAATTTTCCAGTGTAAAGTGCTCTTTTCTAAATAATCTCTTCTCTGCTCTGCCCTTCTCTGTATTTTCCAAGTTTTATAGCTGAATGTTATAGCAACCAGAAAAAAAGAGAAGATATTTTTTTTTTTTGCCATATCTAAATCTTACATGCAAGCACTATTTTTTTAAAGTGAGGCACAGGCATCAGCTCTAATTGACAAAACAAATGAAAATTCTCAATTAAAAACTTTCCAGGGTATTGATTTCCAGAAGATGGAGAGTACACTTTGTAAAGGGCCATTTGTTGTGTTGAATATTTTTTGTGCATTTCCTGGGAAAATTGACAACCAGCATCTGTTACAGATATGAGGCTATTAAAGGTAGCTTGGAACTGGTACTTAGCAGTCTTCTCCCACTCCAAAAATAATCAATCTTTTTAATGAACTGCAATGTTAATTGGCTGAACCTTCAGCTGGAATTTGTAAAACATACTGTGACATTATACCAAATGGAAAGTTAGCTTTTTTACTTATTTATATTTCAACATCAAATTCAAAATTTCCCAAAATCACTGTTTGTTTAACTCCACTTGAATCTCATAGTAAAAAGGCAACTTGCAGTGACACTGTCCCACATGTCATCCTTCTCTGTAGGGAGACATGGATTTGAAGAATGGACCTCTCAGTGGATAAGGAACTGACTGGATCCCACTCAAAGAGTTTCAGTCAATGGCTTGATGTCCAAGTGAAGGCCAGTGAAGAGTGGTTCCTTGGACAGCCACTTTTCAACACCTTTGTTGGTGACATGGCAGTGCACCCTCAGCAAGCTTGCTGACAGCACCAAGCTTTGTGGTGCAGTCGACACGCACCTGACAGTACCTAAAGGGTACAAGAAATGCAAAGAGGTACTTTTTACGAAGTACATGGTGACAGGACAAGGAGAGATGGTTTTAAACCGAAAGAGGGTAGGTTTAGATAAGGTGTCGGAGGAAACTCTTTACTGTGAGGGAGGTAAGAAGCAGATTTTCTGGAGAAGCAGGAGATGCCCCATCCCTTGAAGTGTCCCTGGCCAGGCTGGATGGGGCTTTGAGACACCTGGTCTAGTGAAAGCTGTTCCTGCCCAATGCAGTGGGGGTTGAAACTAGATGATCCATAAGGTGCCTTCCAACCCAAGCTGTTCTATGATTCTATGATTTCTGTGAGATGAAAACATGGGAAAACAGACCAAGAAAGAGTTGCTCAGTGATTGAGACAGATAACTGAACTTGATTTGAATGGCAACAGCGCTCTACCTTTATAGCTGCCTGCGATTTACACGTTGCTGTTTTGTACAGGAAGGCAAATGATGGTTGCTAATATGTTGTTTTCTCTGCTCAGTGGATGCTTGCAGATCAATGTGGTCTGACAGATTTTTCTTCTCACCCTGGAATTTTAGTTTAGACCCCACCACCATCAAAATGCAGTTACTGTCAAACCTCCAGATTCCTGCAAACAGATACTTTGTGCTATAAAATGTCCAGTCACAATATCTTCTCCCCATAGGAAGAGATTGGTCAATGCATTTTGACTGCATCTTTCATTAACAGTTACTGCTCTGTCTCTTCCATTTCAAAACCTACACATAATGTTCAGATTATGTTCCTGGTACCCTCCTTATTTGACAAAACCTCCAAAAAGTCGTGAAGTCTTTTTAGACTAAGCTCCAGGTGTCAACAGTACACTTTTCAGTTTTCTACCTTGGGCCTGGAAGTAGTCACTCACTTGGACACTCCAGTAGAAGTTTTTCCTCATTTTAATGTGTCATGGGACACATTTTAGCAGCTTCTATACAATGCTATTTTCATCTGATTAAATGTGTATTTAAGCAAAAAAATTACAGCTGCTCTATATGTAATTAGAGTTTCTTCTATTAGATGCTCCAGTCTTAAGGTTCAGGCCCATTAGGCAAAGAAGTAAAGTGAATTACAATACTTTAAAACAGCAGCAAACACTGAAATCTTATGGTTATCCCTACTACCTAAACCAAACAGGCCCTTATGCCCAGACATTCAGATAGTAGGTTTACTGAACAATCAGGCAATCAGGCTAATTCATGAGAAGCTACATCAAGGTCTGCAGGTCATCATCAGCATAAATACTTTAGGGTGAAATAAATATTTACAGGCAGTTCTAGGTAGAAGGGGCCTAAAGACATGAAATAGCAAGACAGACCAGGGAGTGCCTGGAAACTCATTCATTCATACTGAGCTATAATTTCTGGCCAGATAGTTGCTTCTTAACAAATTGTCATATCTCACATTACCAGCAGTTGGTTTACCACCACTCACTTCCAGTGCATTAGTAAGATATGAGGGCATCTTTCAGAGTGTAATAATAACTTGTGTCTAGATAAGCAACATTCAACATCTGAATGCAGAGCAAGACCCTTCACACAGCTCATGGTGGTGGTTTTCTGGAGTTGCTGGCAACTATCTTTCCTTAGTGTAGTGGAATAGACCCATGACAAGGAGCCAGCTGGTGACTGACATGCTGTCATTGCTTTTGTCTACTCCCCCACCGCTGTGCATAAACCCCTGCTGTCTCCTTACCCAGATTGTCAGCTGCCTCTTGAGAACATAGCTTCTGCAGCATTTCTTATATCAGTTTCAAATCAGCTATGTTTTATCTGTGGCTAAAGGAAGGAGTATGCAGAGAGCAAAGTTAATAAGTTT